TGGAGCAGCTGAAGGAACCGAAGAAGGTCACCATCTTACTGACAAATAAAGTTTTTTCTCTCTCTCTCTCTCTGCACATATCGAATGTACGTCCCATTTTGGTATATGCATGCGCCGCATGGGATTTGCATACACGTTACACCATTGAACAACTCGAACGTATTCAGAAACGGGCAGCTCTGTTTGTCTCCGGCAATTATTTCTCTAAAAGATCATCTGAAGTACGCCGAAACCTGGGATGGCCTCTTTTGAAGGCAGAAGAAGGTGCCTTAGGCTCAATTTATTTTTCAACATACTTCAACATATGTTAATACAGATGCAGAATTAAGGTATTTAAGCGCTTTTTTTCCACGAACAATACACGGATGGAGTATTTTACCAACTGATGTCATTTCTGTGGCACATTCCTACTTTCCTATTGCTCTAAAAAACTTACTGTTGGAACAATTTTTCACTTTGCTGTTCTAATAGTGAAAGTCTTTGCTTTTATATAGTGTGCAAAGTGTTGTTTTTTCCCTAAAATGCCATATCCACTATTTCTGCATAACAAAATGTCTTGTGATTCTTTATATTTAGCGTTTGCTATTGTTTTGTATCGCCTTACTCCCCTACAATATTGAAAGCTCAATAAGCAATTACCTGTGCGCGGTACTTCGTTAAAATCTGGAGGTAAAACTATAAGGTCACGTGTCTAGTGGTCAAAATTGTGCAACATGGCGGCGGCCAATTGGAGGTCACTTTCAGCTGCCATACAGTTTATCGCTCTAAGGCCCCCTACTAGAGAACTGCACGGTAACGGGCCGACCCGCGGGCCGGGCTCGGGCTTCACGGTTACATTTATGAAGGGCCCGGGCCGGGTACGGGCCTTGCATTCAAGTCTACAAAGAGGGCCGAAGCGGGCAAGCCAGCCATTTTCTTTATGTTCTTTTTTTAGCAGCAATGTTTTCAGGAAGCTTGTTCGGGGGGGTTGGGAGAGCGACCACAGTGAGTGAAACCCAAACGCTGAAAGCATGTGTATGTGCATGTATATGGTTTTTGTTCGGTTCGGTGCGTGTGCAGCGAATGCTTTTCCAGAGCACTAGCAGCGGCGTTACTTTTCGTCAACGGCGGCGCCGCCATCGTATACCATCGCGTCTCCCCATCAACACGCATACATACGCGCCTACATAATGCGCACCTTTGTCGGCGTAAACCACGTACGGTACGAGTGAGTGCATCAAACAATTTCTCCAGGGCCACCGCAAAAAAACGGCGATATATATATATATATATATATATATATATATATATATATATATATATATATATATATATATATATATATATATATATATATATAACTGAGAAGAAAAAACCCTTAGTGAAAACAGCAACGACGGACGATTTAATCTTCGACGTTTCGACCGGAGTCCGGCCTTCGTCAGGAATATGACGAAGGCCGGACTGCTTGTTTGTCGAGTTCGGCTGTGGTCGGGGCACCCGCTGAAAGTGCGGTCTCGGAGGACGGCAGGGGAAGTCGCCAGAGGTTAGGATTATTCACCCCAACATTTATTGACAAATTGGCCATATCTGTTGTAAAAGATTTTATATCCTATCTCTTAAATAAACAGTTGTGATTTGTTAACATCAGTAATCGTACGCAAGATGACCTCGTAAGCAAAAAAGAATTGGGGCTCAATTCACGCTGTGAAGGTGGTTGGTCAGCGAAGCTGTGGTACGTGGTTTACGCCGACAAAGGTGCGCATTATGTAGGGGGGGGGGAGGGTAGCGCTTTGTGTGCGACCGGCGATTGCCTGTCGCCGGTCGCACACAAAGGCGGGCGAGCCGAACTCCTCCACAGCCGTAAGGGGTCCCAAGTTTGCGAGTTAGCGGGCGGAAGACTCCACAGCCGAAGTGGGTCGGACGTACAGGTTGGCCGCCAGAGGCAGGGAGAGTTCCAGGGCTTGGTATCCGGGAGCCAAGTGCCTTACGGTCCCTCGGTGGCCGCTTATGTTGGGTTCAGCAGCATTCTGGGGTCCTCCAGTCCTCCAATGAGAAAGTTTTGGAAGGACCAATCAAGAGGGGTGTTCTTAGCACCAATCAAAAGGCTCGGAGCCCAAAGCAAATACGAACATTCTAAAAACAAGCGCATATACGAGACAGAACACATTCCAAACGAAGCCCACAAGAGCAGCCATAAACAATAGAAAGCACCTTCTTGGCCACAAAAGTTATACATACGCAAAGCAAAACCACCTCCGAAGTAGAGATCCCAAATGCAAACATACACAAGACAAAACGTTTCCAACACGGGGTTCTGTAAACTAAGTGTAGCATTACAGCGTTCACGTTCGCCCCCATTTGGGGCCCCCCGACTCCGGTGGAATCCATGAGCCGTCCCGTGTAGACGGAAAGAACTCTCGGAGAAGCAAAAAACATAAAGTGAAGCTAGACTAAATACTCACGCGAGCAAAACTTCGCGACAATATATATATATATATATATATATATATATATATATATATCGGGAGTGGGCAATTTAGAACTTTATCGGTCTTTTGTCCAAACCCGTCGCGGCATTTCCATTATTGTTTCAACTTTGACACATGATTTTGTTTACTGCTGATTGTCATTATTGTTTTTCAGTCCCTTCCGCGCGTGTTTGGTCGCAGAAAAGAATGATCAAACGTGCTGCATAGGCCCGCAGATTGGTCCAACTAATAATAACAGGAAAAAAGAATTGGGGCTCAATTCACGCAGTGAAGGTGGTTGGTCAGCGAAGCTGTGGTATCATCTGCAACGATTGCCTGTCGCCGGTCGCAGCACGCGGCCGCTGGTTGTATGGCCATTTCTTTTCCCTTTGCCGCTCCTATAGTATTCATGCTGCTCCTCGGAAGTCCTAACTATGCGTGGCTATATTCATCGCGATGCTGCAGCAACAATGAAATCAATTTGCTATATACTCCGTTTCATCTTACGTTCAAGCGCAGCGGATGTTACGAGCCATCGGAACCAATTGGAGGCCGTGTGAGTGTCTCGTAACCTTATAAAGAGGAGGAACAGCGACGCGCGGAAAGCGTATCACGGATTCACGGGCCACGTCCACAGAAGGGGATTGGCTAAGATAGCTCGTAGCATCCGCTGCGTCTGGACGTAAGGTGGAACGGGCTATAGGCGGGCTCTTCTTTTATATATGAAAGGCTAGTGACGTTACTCCCCACGTCGCAAGCTGCCGTCACCGCCGGCAGCAGGCGCCGTTATCACCCAATATGCTGTTCGCACTTCACACGAGGGCTTCGAATGACGTCAACCCCTTTCGAAGTAGCTGCAAACCTAATCGTTACCGGAGCGATTGGGAGGGTGTTCCTATTGTTCACACGCGCCTTATTATCCATCATGTGGATAATAAGGCGCGTGGTTTTCTTTATTGAAACGGATACTGAGCTGTATGCTGTATGCCTGATTTCAAAGGAGATGCGCTGTTTTGTCTTCCATTGTTCGCCGGGAGTTTTTTTCTTACAACGCCAACGACACGGAAAATTCCTTGGCTGGTAGAGGTATACAGCTTCGCTGTAAAAATATGCTTACTGCATTAACTATTGGTTACCGTAATCAACATATATGTAGCAGTGACAAGCGAGCTGCCATTCCGTGCAATTTGTGGGCTGTTCATACTAGGCTTAAATAGAGCGGGCCTCAGCGGGCCCGTGAAAATCAGCATCGGGCTGGGCCGGTTGTCGGAAATACATAGCGGGCCGCGGGATGGTCCGGGCTTTTCAATATTGGCCCTCTACCTTGTAGGCTCCAACAAAAACGGGCTAAAAAACCGTTTTTTTTGGAGCCGACGCAGCTGTTTCCATAGCAACCCTCGCGCTAGGTCAGACCGGCGACGCAAGTGTGTGAATCACCCTTTAGGTCAGACGACACCCACACGGCGCTGGATTTGCTTTTACGGCCCGTAGCGTTCATCGCGCTCCATCGTACAGAAGAGCACACCTGGCCTGGCTCGCGTTTCACTGTGCTCAGATTACAGAGTGTTTCCTACCGCTCGATCGGAATCACGTGGTTTATGAGCCGTGCTTGTTTTGTTAACCCGACGCGCTGCCCGAGGAGTCAAAAGCGTTGATTGTCCGGAAGCGTCTCCGCCTCCCCATACGCTTTCCTCCTGGCCCCGGGACAACGCAGACGCAAGCCAACTTGGGACCAATATGCGGAGGAGGTGTTCGCCAATAAATAAAGTGCAAACCATCTCCGTGGTTTCGGTCGCTCCCTCTTGCGTCTAGGCTCTCTGGGAGCGACAGAGGTCGACCGGTAGTATTCTTTTACTCTTTCTGACTCACAAACGAACGGCTCTCATCGAAACCACTACTACAACGGAATGTGGGGGGTCTGTAGTGAGCTTATATGAGTGAAATACAGAAAACGATAGGCAGGGACTATTTACCCCCCAAGTCCTTTAAGAACGCGTGAAACACATAGAATTGCTGAGGGAATTGGTGTGTCACGTGACGTAGATGTTCCCGCTAAATTTAGCGGGGAAACTGAATGGTTTTATATATCACGTCACGTCGACTTACATTTGGCGGGGAAACTGGGTTGGTGCCTAGGCCACACCAGACGCGAATCTGGTGGATAGGTCACGTGATTTCAATTTCCCGCTGAATTTAGCGGAAAAGCTGAGTTGACGCGTATAGGTCGCGTGACGTCAGGTGACGCCGCCTGCCCGATAAATTTAGCGGGGAAACGGAATCGATACATAGGTCACGTGGCGTTGGCGCATTGGTGTGTTTGTCCCGTGACGTCAGGTCACGTGACATCAACGTCAGGTCACGTGACAACAACATCAACGGACGGACGAACGGACGGACAAAATTTAAGGATTGGGGGGAGGGGGGGGGGGGGAGGGTAGCGTTAAAACCATCTCATGCTTTGAAAGTAAAAGGCGCATCAAATGTCGCACACGTCGAGCGGTGCACATCTGTTCGCATTTATCACGCGAAACGCTGCGAGTCACTGGTTCCCCGAACTCCGACGCACCTGTTTGTTTACGTTCAGCGATTTGAGCCTCTCGTTTAGGTTCGCCTCATCTGCGCGCTTTGTGCCCACCACGCTACGTCAACCCTCCCAGCGGCTTCACATGGTGCGTATTCTCGTTGGGTCTCCATATATAGTGGCGGTCCTAAGGTGGAGGGGGTTCAAAGGGGCCGGTAGCTTTTCTCCTACGCCCCCCCCCCCCCCCTTTCCTTTTTTTTTTCAAAAGATAACAAAAGAGTAACCTCGTCGCTTTTTGTTTTTATTTGCTCGAAGAATGCGGGAGCACGTACTCTTGTTCACTATACACCAGCCACGTCTCACTGATCATTTCAAAGTTTTGTAACCATGCTGAATGAACCTGAGACTGGGGTTAATTCAACCTGGTTAATATTCACCAGCTCGCCTGCACCCTTACGATTTTTTCAAAGTTTTGTCATCTCTCTCCAGAGGCGAATGTTAGCCGTCGCTCTGGGGTCCTTTCGGTTTAGACGGCACCATGTGACGCGGCGGCGATGGCCGGCATAATCTCCTGGGCGCCATCAGCCCCGACTTTTTCTTTCACTGTCTCCCCGCCGTCTAGATTATCGCCCCCCCCCCCCCCCTTAAACACACACAAGCACAACACAAGACCTGTGTTTGTGCTATCCCCCCTTTTCTGTTTTCCCCCAAGTCTCTGGCTCTAAGGTGTTGTGACAGGCTTAAAGTTTCTATTTAAAAAAAATAGAAAAAAAACTCTAATTTATTTGATGTAAGTGTTCGATTACTTTGAATGAATACACCGGTTTTCTTAGGGTTGCATTTTCTTTCTTTTTTTGTGTGTGTGTATGTTGTAGATACGTAGCTTGGTTTCCTTTCAGTTAAAAATATGTATTACAAGTTGAGAACATACTAGTGAATTTCTTCCCCCTTAGTGCCCCACAGAGAGAAAACAAAGGAAAATATGTGATAAGACAGAATAAAGGTTCAAAGTATTGGTGGAAATATGTGAAGTTTAGATATGTGAGATGGACTTTCCCCGTTTAGGATGTAAAAAGAAATATAGTGAACAAGTAACAAGAGACTGTTTTCGCAAAAGCTGTAAAACTTTGTCACACCGTGTCTTTCTAATAATTGTACATTTACTTTGTTCTCTTGTTCTTGGGGATTTCAGTCGGGACAGTTTCAGAAGAACCAACAACATTCCAAATAGCCTAATTTTCGGTAATTTTTCTTTTCAGCGAACAGCACAGTCATGGCATTTACAGCGATAGTTACCAGGTCCTTCTCGCGAGCCACGGACATCATATCTTTTACCTCAGGAGCGTCTCGCAACCCTCAGGTTTGTATAAACGTTTGATGAAATAAGCGTATGAAAGAATAAAGAACAAAATTTTATACAAATATATCACGATTTTCAAGTTGTACACAACTAAGCACAACATCAACAGAAAGAGGATCAAGCAGAGTAACGAATAAAATGCTGCTCAAACGATCTAAATCCCTTTTGCACTCGGGGCTGCAAGTTCCTGTAAAATGGGTAGCAAATTCCTCGGATGTTTTGATGTGCATGGACGTCACTAAAGTTCGGTTCTGTATCACTACTGCGTGAAGCACGTTAAAGACCCCACGCTGTCAGTCGTGCTGCGCTAGCTAAACTTCTCATCTACCGCGGTTACACCAGATGCATATTGGGGCTGACCAACTTCCCGCTGTCTAAGCATTTTCGCAATTACGTTTTACAAACAAGAGCATATATAAGCAGGCAAGGCTTAGAGTAAACGATGGTCAATAGTTGCTGGAAACTCGTAATATAATATTCAACAAGAGCGAAGTGGTGGCGCATTAATGGGACCCTGAACTCGAGCAATGAGCCAGCCAGACGGCGGATCAGGCCAACTTCGCGATAGCACATTATGGCGTGTTATCTTATCCAGAAACTGCCATGGCATGTTATCTGCCGACAACACAAAATGGCGGATCGAACATACCCGAACATACCACTTCCCGGCTGCCAGACTCTCATATACACGTTTGAAAGTACGGCCTCTGGGCGCCAGCCATCTTGTTGCTGGTCAGGGTAAATCGCGTGATAGTCAAGTATAGCCAGCCGGCAACAGCCAGGTGGCGCCAGCAGAGCGAGACCCCACGATTATACCCCTGTCTCGTTGTAACTTGGCAAAGGGTGGACGATAAGCCCCACATTGCGTGCCGACGGCTTCGATATGCGCTATCGTATATACGAGCGCAACGCACATATATTGGAGCATGACGAAGCGAAAAGCCTGATCCTTCTTCGCCGTGAAAGCGCACTCAAGTGATACGTAGTCACTTTAACCCTGGAGAGTGGGGACAAGGAGGACAAACACGACACAGATTTCCAACCACAACTAACATTTATTTCACGCTTCAACCAGCTCGCCTGCACCCTTGCCTTAACGTAATCATGTTCCGATTGGCCCGCCAGGGCCGCAGCTTCCGCCGTACTGGCATGCTATGCGATCACGGCTTCCTGGCCTAGCCAGTATTTTTTTGCTTCAGACACTGCTAAGCGGCGCCACCAGAGCAATACCTTACGTTTGAACAATGCAGCCGCCACTCCCAGGCATACTCAATGTTTCTTGCTTCAGTCGCTCCACGGGAAAGCAAGTGCACTCGCCTCCAGGACCTGCGCCTCATTCACCCCACATGTGCGCCATGGCAGGTGTTATCACATATTGACAGGTGTTGGCCATGAGCCAGAGCATTGAGAAAAATGAACTGTAAACACTTCGCAAATATTACTATACGAGACCAATTGAAAACTCTATTCCAAGCGAAAAAAATAGCGATAAAAAAGAAAACGAGCATACAGACAGCATGAAATACAAAGGACTCCCTCGGCGACGGCAATCGCTGTGGCGATCTTGCCCAACAAAATGAACAGAGAAAGGTTAATAAGGAGCTCGGGCATGTAACAGTTGTAGTGTCAGAAGCAAAAAGAAAGCAGAAACAAGAAGGAACCAAGGAAAAGTTGAAGAATGATCCATCGGTGGATCCATAGGGAATGCGTTAGCGTGACCTGTTATAGCCGAGAAAACGCGAAGAAAAAAGTGAGTAACGCGACACCCACCAACAGAAATGCGTGACGCAGAGAAACGACGTCACTGGAGCATCACGTGACCCCCTGGTTGATGCTGTACAAATAGCAACTACAACACTTGACATGTTCGTCGTATTTGTTATTGTTCTTGAAGCCCACATTAATTCCACATGGAAAGCCGCACTCGATGTATCATATAGATCAGGGGTGGCCAGGCTGGCCTGGCCTAAGAGTCGCAAACAAAACCACGGAACTTCTAAGAGCCGCGGGGGGGGGGGGGGGGGGGGGGGGTTGGGCAAATTTAACATTTGTTCAGAGTCTGACGGTACGTATGGGGGCGCAAGGCTGTACGACTGTACGTATGGGAGTACAAGGCTGTCAAACTGCAAGCTGCAGTGTGCTTTATTCTGAAATCCTTTCTCTTCAATTTTTTTTCTGGGGAAACATGGAAAGGTGCGAGGGGGGGGGGGGGGGGGGGGGGGGGTGTCCCCTTACGAGGGATCCGCGAGCCGCACACTTGGACCAGCAAAGAGCCGCATGCGGCTCGCGAGCCGCGGTTTGGCCACCCCTGATATAGATGAAACAGTGTACAAGGGTGCAACCAGACTTGTACGTAATCCGTTACAAGTAACGAAATTACTTGTAATCCCTTACATTTTTCAGTAATTTAGTCACGGAATATTTACATAATTTCTAGAGTAATTTTAAAGTAATTCCCTTACTTTTTTTACGTAACGGATTCCTTGTAATCCGTTACATTTTTTTTAGGACCAACCCCCCCCCCCCCCGCCCCCCCCCCCCCCCCCCCGTTTTTCTTCCCTTTAAAGGGAGGGTTGTTTTTATTTTGGTGAAGTCGAGCTCAATGACACTGTCACGCGAATTGATCAGCGCAAAGGGAGGTTTGTCACTCTTTAGTTCCGCAAAGCCTTTTTTTTTTTTTTTTTGCAACACGAAGCCCCTGAATTTTTTTTTTTTTTTACTCTAACAACAATGACAAAAAAATCCAAATAAACAAAGAGGGGGGTAAGTTGTATTTGCTTTGTTTTAGTCCCTTTGTTTTTTCTTTGCGATCGAAGACGGGGAGAGGAGGACGCCGAGTGATTGTGTGCCTCTTCAAGAAGCTGGAGGCGGTAGGTGCACAGAGAATAATTATCAATGTCCTTCTCGGTTATAGTGACTACGACCATTTTTATAATATCACCACACGAGACAACGCTCCGTCTACCCTAAAATCCACTAAAAGAGATGTGATAATATGTCAAGGTGTTATTGCCACAAGCATCCTCGTTCGTTGCTCCACACTTATAATCTCTTAGAAAACAGGGTGTATTTTTTTTTCTGTTTCTTTCACCTTATTTAGCCCTGTTTTAAAAGCTACTTACTTGTTTGTAGTCCAACTTGTAGGGTTGGTCCACTTTATTTGTAAATTCCAGCAAGTCAGTCACCCGTTTTGTGAGTCAGCTTTTTGCGAGCACTTCGAAAATGGTATAGTCTTCCTTTTTTCTTCTTCCTGTTTTTATACGCCAGCAGGACGCACCTTATCTCAAGCAGATATTTTTACAACTAAAACATAATGGTGGCTGACGTAGACTTGATATTCTGGGCTTGAGGAGAGAGTGAAACTCGTGAGTGGGGCCATAGCGCGGCTTAGTTAGTACTCTGCCCTTCGCTGCCCGTGGCATCAGCGGACGTCTATCTGGAGAACACCGGAGTAAACTGCAGTCGGTTCGTGCTCCGTGCGTTTTTGAACGGCACCAAGAAAGGTACACACGGCAAACGCTCATTTACATTTCCTTGTTTTAACCGACGTTCTAATTAATTGTTGTAATGAGCGTTTCTTTTATTTTCGATTACTTATATTTATATACTGGAAACTTTTTTTTTATTCACCAACGTCTCAACCGAGGCTCGACCTGTTCAGAACCAAAAGAAGAATATCGAGCCAAACCTTATTTATTATTTAATTATCACCTTACTGTTACAACTATGGTTTGCTATTGTCTGGTAATATATGCGGGTATAGTAAAATGGACATAAATCAATTATTATTCAAGTTTTTGTCTAGATGTATGATGACTTCTAGAGCTTCGCGATTTCGTAGATCGGTCCAATGACTCCGATAACGATACCCGATACTCCGCTGCCGCCTTTGCGCATATATCATCTCGTTATCGGGGGCATCTACTAAAACTCGAATATCAGGCGACGGCTGCGACGACGAAGCTTTGCTCTATCTTCGAAGTAAATAGTACTTCCATTGCTTAGCTGAAAAAGCTCAATGCACAGCATAAAACACTCGTGAGGCACAATAAGCATCCAATGCCTCAGTTCAAAGGGTGTTCAGCGTAGCAAGTCGACATATTGAGTAAGAAATAATGCAAAATGTCTGACGAGACATTCGAGAGCCAACTGTTGCTCGAAATACTCAAAATCATTAAATGCATCAGGTTGCAACAATAAGAACTTGAATTACCCCCTTCCCATTGTTTCTTAATTGAAGACAATATTGTTGAAAGTAACGCCACGAAAGTAACGGATTACTTTTTGGGGTAAAGGTCACTTACTTTTATGGGAGGGTAATTGTAATGGTAATAAATTACAATTTAGCCTTGAGTAATTGTAAATGTAATTCCTTACTATTTTTCAGTAACGTGTACAAGTCTGGGGTGCAATCGCTTAAAAAAAAAGAACCTATAGTCTCAGTTTAGATTTTAGTTACTACCAATAATAAAAGAATAGTACAGTGTGGAGGGACAATAGACCCCTTTCAAAAACATGACAACTCCGTGCGCCATTGACAACAGAGAGCGCGCTCTCCATGGTGAAGGTATATATATATATATTTTTTTTTTTAGACCCGTTGGCTTTGCGTGAAAAAGCGGCGTGGCAAATGCAAGTAACGCGGTTCTGTTTCCCACCGCCGGCTGGGATAATGACCTTACTAGCTCGAGAGGCTACGTTTACATGGATGCGACAGCAGCGCATCGGATCCAGTTAGCGAATTGGATTCACTTCAACCACTACGTTTACATGGATTCGGATCGACCAGCAGCGGCACCTCGTGTCGAAGGATCACAACGCAAACCTCGTGACCTTCAGATTGTTTTCGAGGTGTCCGGTTTGCCTAGCGGCAGGCGAAGCAAAGCTCCCGTAATCCCTCGCTCGAGCACTCGATTCGATCCGCTAGCGTATACATGGAGAGTCTCGATTCGGATTGACCATCTCAAACCACCCCGTCCCAGCGGATCGAATCGGATCCGATCCGATCCGATCCGATCCGAGTTGTTTACATGGACCGATTCGATTCGTTAACTGGATCCGATGCGCTGCAGTCGCATCCATGTAAACGTAGCCATGTAAACGTAGCCCGAGAGAGACCAGAACGGTTTTTAAGCCTCTTGCGACTTCTTAGGACCAGCTCCGCTGCATCGCATCCGGTCCTAAGAAGTCGCAAGATGCTTAAAAACCGGTATCGTCCCTCTCAGTCGTACTCGGTTGCAAGAGTGTGAGCGGGCCTTTAGGGGTGAAACCTAAAAACAAAGGGCTCTCATCATGATGTGTCCGCAAGTCATTTTTGAAGTCCACAAAACGTCTAGCCCGCTAAGCTTGCAAAAAAAAGATGCCCTCAAGGGGAACTTATTGTGGTACTGTCCCAATACTGCATGGTAGCATAAAGTAAAGTATGGTGCTAGTGGATGTTTCAGTAACATAAACAAAAATATTTTCGAAAAACGCCTCTGCAAGGTGGAGTTTTTTTTTTTTCTTTTTTTTTTTTTTGTCTGCCACGCGTAGTTTTGTTAAAGAGCAGAAAACGGTCGCACGACTGATACGCGAATTCGACTGCTCGTTTAGCTACGCCAACGGCATCTGCCTAACGAGCAACACGAAGTAAAGGTACAATAAAATAACAACGTAGTGCGTTAACCAACTGCATGCAAAATCGGGCCGAACGGCAGCAGGTGCACCGAGTGAAACCTACGCTCGTTTATCCGCTTCAGACGTATCCGTGTAACAGCTGGTAAAGAAAACGCAAATTAGTATAATGCAGAACCAATAAAATGCATGCAAATTCGTGAGGTTAGCCAAACGACCGCGGCAGCGGACCGTTTGGCTAACCTTTCAACACTGACCAATCCGGACGAATCCTGACCTTCCGTCAAGATTCGTCGGTGTATCCACCATACTGCGTGAAGACCGGGACACAGCAGTGTGTTGGCACCTTCATTGGTACTCTAAAGCGCTTAAACTGTTCTTAAAACACCAGAAAAAGTGCCTAAAGCTCGACTGGTGCACAGCGAGGTTGCGACCTGCTTTCCTTCACCCTGGCACGCAGCTGCTCACCGTCTCGGTGTTGCCGTGGTTACCATGCCGAGAGACACTGCTGCCGGGTTTTCTGCAAGGGGTAACACGAACATGCAATTGCCGGGTTTTATATGTTTTAATTAAACCAGTCTGCGTTGCGGAAAGTACTTATCCGGGGTCCTCAAACAAGCGGAAACATTAACCGCTCATTCACACTGGAAGCGGATCCACGTTCGCAAAGCGGTTGCGAACGCGGTTGTATAAATATCCAGTATACAATTGCACGCGCAGTTGATGTCATCAAGTGCGCGTGCAATTTCACTGGATCTGTATACAACCGCGTTCGCAACCGCTTGGCGAACGCGGGTCCGCTTCCAGTGTGAATGAGCGGTAAGACGTGCTCCTCAAAACCCTGTCTGAGCACAGTAGAACAAAAAGGCAAAAATGTGTTCGCGAGCTGTGTAGAACTGTGGACGTTGATGAATACGCACGTGCGAATAGTGGATTTTGAATTCGAAGCGAAATGGAAGCGAGAAGTGGTCTTGTCCGAATATTGAATAGTTTCGCCAAATCTTTAACTACTGCACCATGCAAACCCAGCTGAAACTCGTGAAGGTTGTTCCGAATCTTCCACTTGTCCATTTCTAAGCTAAACTAATTTTAATCCATCTATATTTATGGACTGTGGTCTTAGAATGTTCAATGCCTATATTAGGATGGCAAGTAAACGACGTGTTTGATATTAAATTGATCCTATAGAGATGCCCAGCTACACCTATAATCTGGAGTCACTAAATGAGTGACGCTTAGAGTAGCGGCACTCTGTTCTCCGACATTGTTCTTGGCGCCGCCATCCTGGTGCTTAGTACAGAGCAGACGCAACTGCCGATCGTCATGCTTCAAAAGTGTGACTTCCTCAGCATTAGATTCGGTGTTAGGAAGCTCATGTAATATTGATTTGCTCTGTCGCGAACTGTTCAAACATTTGTGGGGGACAGAAAAGCGCTTCCTGTGATTTCAGACAAAGCTTCAGATAACTAGCAACCATAATTTTAAGCCCCAAGATGAGTAAAGATGAGTAAGTGTTGTTACTCTGAAGCATCAGCAATTAATTGGGGGGATAGTTGGTTGAACATCTAGACGGTGGTTTTAAAAGCGCAAATGACTAAGAAGAGAAGGAGGGGACAGGACAGAGCGCTCTGTCCTGTCCCCTCCTTCTCTTCTTAGGCCTTTGCGCTTTTAAAAAAACCGTCTAGTTACTCTGAAGCGTAGCTTATTTAGCGGCACTAAACTAATCTAAGGAAATTAGTTTTCTTGCAACACCCGCGAAAATGGTCTTCGCGGGTGTTGCTTTTCCGCAGTGCATCAGTGCTCGATAAGAAGCGCGTACAACGGGAATAACCCGCCGCGATCAAAACTTCGAAAAATGCGAATATCTCAACTCAGCTCGAAGCGAATATCAAATAGCGCATTATTCGAAAGTTAGAATATTCGAACTACCCTCTTGGTGACAGGTAAATCATATATTTTTAGTTTTTGCATGTGTGTGTGCGCGTGGGCGTTTATGTGTGTGTGTGTGTGCGCGCGTCTGTGTGTATGTGTGTGCCTCGCAGCTTGCATTTTTGTATTATGATTACAGATGGGTCGTTTTACAAGATTAATCAGAAGGTTGTGCATCTACGCCTCAGCGGATGAAGCTGTCAAAAACATCAAAAGTGGATCCAGTGTGCTCATCGGAGGTCGGTAGCTTTCGTAATTCGTGCAATTGAACATACTTAAAATATTTTTCGTCAAGATATTAAAGATGTAAAGAGTAATTTGAGTAACAATATATACTTTAATACAGACTTTCGGAAAGACTCAAAGTCTCTATTGTTACTCAAATTTATCTTAACGTAATCCGTGCATCAAGGCAATGCGTGTCCTTCGCATGAATGATATCGCTTGGCCCAAGCATGGTAAGCTGTGAGCAGAGGTCGGCATTTTTAGTTGATCTCACTGACAGCTAGCTCAAAATAAAAAAAAAAGCTAGAAACTCACTAACCCTCATTATTCTTCCAGTCCTTACTCACGAACTCACCGAACTCGTGAACTCACCGAACGCCCCTCACCGAAGTCATGAACTCACCGAACTCATGCACTTCACTCAACCTCAAACTCGTGAGTTTTCGAGGCTTACGAACTTACTCACCCTCACCTCAAGCATGATCGGTGAGGATGAGTGATTTGAGTGAGTACACTGATGAGTGAGTTTTGCCGAAGTCTGTGAGCATGCTCAAAACAGGGATGGAACTGCTGGGCCAAATGCGCCATTGTGAGGCTGTTGACTTTGCATGCGCCACACTGATACAAAATTATAAATAAGGACGAAATTGCTCCAAGGTGCGCCCAAACTGAAATTATAAACGATCCTCGTCAAAATTAGCCGTTTCGCAGTTTTTGTTGGCGACATTATCATCGGAACTTCCGGCCCAAAGGAAACGCCAGTGGATCCGAATCCGAATCTGTATCCAAAAGCAGGGCCGGCCTTTGGGGTGGGCGACCTGTGCAGCCGCACAGGGCGCCATTCATAGGAGGGCGCCGAAAGGGCCGCCAGGTCATGCAGGGCTCAAATCTCGAAGTGTTAAAAACAAAAATAAAAAAAAATTGCGGGGGCTTAGCTGGGCTATGCCAGGATATACGTAGCGTGAGCTTATGCGCACAAAATGACAGGTGCTATCAAGCGGCTCCGGTGCAGCGTCAGACTTGGCTACTGCGCAACGGAGGCGCATAGCTGGGCACGCGGCGGCGCCAGTGCGTCTGCCACGGCTATGATGTCACTCCTCTGGAATGCTCAGACTGGCGAGGCGGGCGCGGCGGCGGCTTCGCGTGGCTCTCATAATGAGCCGTGCTCATTATGCGAGCCGTGCTCATTATGCGTGCTCATTATGAGAGCCACGCGAAACTGCTCAACCTCGGCCAGCGTAGCTAACGCTACAAAACAGCCGTATCGCCGGAGGGCGCCCCCCCCCCTTTATGAAGAAAAAGGTGGTGGCGCTCGCCGTTTGGCATTTCGGCCGCAAAACCAATGACTGTGCAGTCTCTAGCTGTAGGCTAAACGAACCGACGCATCCTCGGCATCCGGTGAGCCTCTATGGGACAGAGGCTTCAACCCGACTGAAAGTTATATGTGTAAAGAACTTTGGAGCCGCACGCTAGGAATGCAGAGTTAACAGCCTGAAACCCGTCCGCCACCAGACAGCTGAACTTCATGACGCCCTTGTTGGTTTGGCCGAATCACAGCAGGCAGACCTTGGCGCCCGACATGAAGCTCGAACTCTTGCAGGGCACCTCACGAACCTTAAGTTTCTCGTTTCCATTGTTGTGTGATACGACATTATTATTCAAGTTAATGTTGTAACCAAGAACATGCAATGCAAAACGAAGGACATCGTAGCGACCACCCAGCTGCTGAAAGCATGCAGCGATTACATCGACAATTATCGCGATGTCGGGTACGAAAGTGCACTGGCAACTGCGAACGGCCTTGCTGAGAGCATGGATGTTGACAGTGTGATGAAATCGGCCCCTCGACTGCGGCGGAAAAAGCGCCAATTCAGTTATGAGTGCCAAGACGAGGTTGATGATGTCGAGACAAAATTCAAACGAGAGTTCTTTTACGAAATGATTGACACCGTAAATATGTCGATTGAAGAACGTTTCACGGTGATGGAGCAGCACGTGAGCCTCTGGGGGTTCCTTTACGGCCTCACCCGACTTCCTGACAAAGCAGAACTTCTTAAACTGGCTTTGACCACGCACTGAGACACCTAGGAAGTGCAGCCATCGACGGTACAGATCTCTGCGAGGAGCTGATCTACCTATACAGCCTGCTGCCCACCGGATGCAGTGCTTCCCAGGACGTCCACCAGTTCATTCAGGACAACCATCTACGTGACAACTTCCCTTATACGTTGCTGTCCGACGTCACACCACTATGGTGGCGCTGCTGTCGGGGCACTCGCAGTGCACCCAAACCTAATGTAAAAAAACGCGAGATTTTTTTTAGAGCGCAGCTCTTAGGCGCCCGTATCCAAGTTGAGCGGCGTCGGCGTAACCGCGCACGTTGCATTAGAAAAAAATGTCCCGCTAAATTTAGCAGAAAATTTTCCCCGCTAAACTGAGCGAGTAAATGTTCCCACTAAATTCAGCGGGGAAACTGAATTGGTGCTGAGGTCACGTGACGTGAATTTACCAGCTAAATTTAGCGGGGGAATTTTACCGCTAAATTTAGCGAAAAAATGTCTCCACTAAATTTAGCGGAAATTTTCCCCGCTAAACTTAGCGGGAAAACTTCCCGCTCAGTTGAACGAGGAAATTGTTCCGCTAAATTTAGCTGGGAAATTCACATCACGTGACCTCAACACCAATTCAATTTCCCCGCTAAATTTAGCGGGAAAATTTTCGCTAAATTTCTCCGCTAAATTTGGCGTGAAAATTTCCCCACTAAATGCCAGGGCAGCAGGCCAGGAGAAGAGGAGGGTACGGAGGGGGAGGAGGTGCATACCCTCCCTCTGTACCTTCCCCTCCTCCTCAGGAGTTGCGCTGTAATTCGGCGTTACAAATAATTGTAAACGTCCTTATTTTTTTTTTTTTTTTGTAAGCAGCGAGTGCTGTGTACATAAATCATGCATTTTCTCACAGCGCCCTGGTTTGTTTGGCATTCAGGTTTCGCTCCGTGCGGGTTTCCGGAAGCTCTGGTGACTGCACTGTCCAGGAGGTCAGTCAAGGACCTGATGATCGTCTCAAATTCTTGCGAAAGCGGAGACTCCGGAATCAGCCATCTCCTCAAGGCAAAGCAGGTCGATAAAGGGTGACCTGTTGTGTGTCGAACCCAGTTCTGACAGGGAAACAGCAGGGCCCACCTAAACAGACCCTTTTCGAAAGTCAAAGCCATCCGGTGGAAGTCTCAAAAGCTCCATTATTTCCGCGCTAATGGCCCGGTGATAGGAGAACAATGTCACCTAATAAGCACCCCGGACTTCGTGAATCCAAGGCCTTCTACCCTATGCTTTCGAAGATGTCAGATTCTTTTCTGGTGTGGACAAGCTGTTTATAGGGTTGCCATTAGAGCGTCAGGTCTGGCTCCGGACAGGATGGGCAGACTGACTTTTGAAAAGGGTCTTTGCGAGCAGGTCGAATTATCCTCATAAAGAAACGATGCCAAAAATCTATTGAAGAGTTTTAAATAGTGGTGGAAAAAGGCCGTAGTCTTCGCTCCACTTCCGCACAGTATTCACTATGCGGTGAGAAACTGAGAAAGAGGATGAGATGAATGAGAGCGCGCTGGGACGCCAGGGCACTGCACTCATGAATGGAAGGATTAGCGAGTATTGGATGGTATAAGGTAGACTCAAAAGGAAGCTGCCTTAATTTGTAGCTACTCACTGTTTGAACGCTTTCGAACGGCAAACACCGGCGTCCGGCGTTCGAACGCGAGACACTGCGCGAGAAGGAGGAGCAAACGACGCTCTTGTTCGCGCCACCAGCTTTTGCGCCCAACCACTTTTATTCTAGTCGGAGCTCGGTGTTCACGCATTCCCACGCGCTCTCGTTTCCTCCTCTCCCTCTGTAATGAATAATTGCATTTTTATCGAAACTAACTCGGATTACGCTAGTGTGCATCGTGCGCTGTGGACTATCGACATCTTGAAACAGCGCGAATGTCAAACGGACGGAGAAAAGAAGTGGACGATACAAGTGCTGATTAACAAGTGAGGGTTTATTCTCGATAAACTGCGAAAAAACACTCAAACATACACGACTCTCTAATCATGATAGAATGGCGCCTGCGCATTCGGTTATACGATGTGCGATCTTCCTCTATCTAAACAGTCTACCCCACATGTCTATCGCCTTACTCACGCCAGGTTGTGCCCGCCTCCTTTCATTCTGTCAGCCTCTGCAGCCTCGCAAGCTTTTTGATCCCTGTGTTTACACAACAAGGCGGCACTTACGTAGTAAACGTGTGCATGCTCAGTGACGGCAATGCATTGCCGAATGTGAGCACGCGGTTCCTGTTAACGAACTACGCTGCTCTCGGAGGGTAATGTTGAGACATTTGCCCGATGTACACCTTCCCGCACGAGGATGGTATACGACGCCCTTTTTGCATGGTACGAACTCGATGCGGTGCTTGATTCCGCATCCGCTCTCCCTCTATCTTTCTTTTGTGTTCGCGTGTGTTTCCACAGCGAAGCATATTCAACTTGTTACTTGCTGAAAACACTACATCTACTCATGTCTTGAGGCGGCTCTTTTAAAACCGTGCGACATGCGGTGCACGTAAGGGATGACTGTCACATACGTTGTTGTTTTTTTTCCCTTTTAGTGCAACGGCATTCTTTAGCTAGCCCCCCCCCCCCCCCCCCCGCCTCAATTTTGCGGACCTTTCTGGCCTATTTGACTAAATTTCTGGTAAATTTGGCGGGAAAATTGATGTCACGTGACCTGACCTACAGACCTACAAACAAATTCAGGTTCCCCGCTAAATTTCGCGGAAAAATTGACCTCACGTGACCTATGTACCAATTCAGTTTCCCCGCTAAATTTGGCGAGAAAACACATCACGACCTTGAAATCATTTATTCATCAACAACGTATCGACACTAAATCAACCCAACGTCATTTCAATATCAGATCATCTTATGACGCACAATCGCCGCAATGCCAATCGATCGCCTAAAAAGTTTGGCCTAGACGTCGTCCATGTCCTCGTAACAAAAGGAGGCAAACAATAGTGGTTTCTGCAACCAATTTTTTCGTAACTTTTCCCCGCGCCTCTCCTTCAATACTTTTTCCTTTTTTTATATTCTTTCCGCGGCCAAGGCGATTACCGACTGTGGGTAACAGACGCCTTTAAGTCTCCCGACCTGGAGGAAAGGCTTCTGTCCTTCGTCCGTGAAACATTCACACTGTTTCAAGATTAACCCATACCAAGTAGCCCAGTTATCCTGCATGCTTCTGAAGCAAGGAGAGTTGGCCCGCAGTTAACCAGTCGCCAAACACCTTACACGCGTACCAACTGCGCATGTTTGCAGGCGTCGCGTGCTGACGACGTCATGAGCCACCGCGAACCAACTGCGCGTGTTCGCAGGCGTCGCATGTTGGCGAGCCGTCATGGCCGCCGCCAACCAACTGCGAGTGTTTACAAGCGTCGGGTCGCGTGTTGACGACATGTTATCAATCACCGCACACGATGCTTGTTCACCACAAGTCTGATCCACATGGTGCGATTTTACTTGCTATCTCACAACTGCGGCGTTGAGCATCGCTGCTTCCAGCACGCTTCTTTTTCGCACGTGCGATGTCGCGATTGCGAAATCGCAAGTAAAATCTTTCAGGCATCAGTCAGTGCGTTCTCTGTGTCGTCGCAAGAAAAAAAAAAAAAGTAAATAAAGCGCGACGAGGCGACGTTTCGAAAAGACGCGGCGGCCCCTACCAGCAAGACGAACATTAAACTGGAGCGTGGGCGGCTTTTCTCATAAATTGCGATCATTTTGGATGTGATAATCTGATCGATAGATGGAGCTGCGGATGTTTTCTATGTGCACTGATTTATTTGCAGTCTTTTTTCATCGACACTTGCAGCATATGCATCGGTGCATGTCTGAAGCAACGAAACAGTGTGTGACTGAAACTTTAGTCGTTCTTCTTTCTAACCAGCTTATAATGCATAAAGTTAAAGTTATACGTCTGCTAATTTGTGCAGGTAAAAAGTGTGATTACCTCATTCGTGGACGGTAATCCCGAATTCAAGAAGCAATACCTTTCCGGAGAGATCGAGCTGGAATTTTCTCCTATGGTATGAGGTTCCATCTTCGTGCTTTAATGGGGACCTTTAGCAAACCGCTGCCGCGCTCCGCGTATCGCACTACCGGAGCCTTTGAGGCATGCTTTTAAGCGCGCGCCCGGGTGGTATACCGTGTGGCTTCAAAGGCTCCGGTAGTGCGGTACGCCGAATACGGCAACGGTTCGCTAAAAGTCCCTGTTAACTGTAACGTCGTTACCTTTCCTTGGTCCATTCTCGAAATACGAATACACGTACGGATAAAACGTGTCGAAGAAGAGTAAATATTCAGTAATTAAAGTCATACGTACTCCTTAGCGAGGCATATTTTCGATGTAATATTACCCCTTACAAAAAAATTAACTGACTTTCAATTTAAAGTGTAAATGACTCACTCAATAGACCTCATTCAGTCTCAATTGAAACTTAATTGACTTTTTCTATTGAGTCGCTATTGATCCGTCCCAGGGTATTGGCCACTGAGTCTTAATTGAATTTTTAGCAATTGCATTTCAATTGAATTTTGGCAATAGTGTTTCAATAGAACTTTTGCTTTTGAGTTTTAATAAAAATATTGCAATTGACTTTCAATTGAATTATTGCAACGTGCTTCAATATAATTTATTGCAACTGCGTTTAAAAAGAATTGCTCTGGTTGAGAATTGTTTTTTTATAATTCTTTAAAGCATGCAACATGAAGGAAACAAAGCACATAGAGGAAACAAACACAAACATCGTAACTAAGCACTCACAACCCACTAATCGCACTCCCCTTGACTACCCCACCGCCTTATATACCCTACATAAGAAAGGTATTCATTTGGCCGGTGACCACCTCAGCATCTACTAAGGTTCCCAGTTTCCTATTTCCTCCTTGAAAGTCTCATAGATGATAAACAGTGTTTCGACGTCATTGGACTCTATCCCTTGATAGAAAAACATTGGTACAAGCAATAATCGTTCGGTGCACACGGGTGCAGTAATCCACAAACGACCAAACTCAATTGCATTCCTCATTAGTAAATTCAATAGAATCGATATTGACTTTCTTATGACCAAACTCAATTGCATTCCTAATGAGTAAATTCAATAGGATCGATATTGAGTTTCTTATGACCAAACTCAATTGCATTCCTAATGAGTAAATTTTATAGAATCGATATTGAGCTTCTAATAACGAAACTCAATTGCCTTCCTAATGAGCAAATTCAATTGAATCGATGATTGAGTTCTTAATGACCAAACTCAATTGCATTCCTAATGAGTAAATTCAATAGAATCGATATTAACTTTCTTATGATAAAACTCTATGGCATCCCTAATGAGTAAAATCATTAGAATTGCTATTGAGTTTCTAATGATCAAACTCAATTGCATTCCTAGTGAGTAAAGTCAATAGAATCAATATTGAGTTTCTAATGATCAGTCTCAATTGCATTCCTAATGAGTAAATTCAATAGAATCAAAATTGAGTTTCTAATGTTCAAACTCATTAGACATTGAGTTTATAATGAGTTTCAATTGACTCTAAAGGAACACAGTAGAAAGTCAATTGAAACTCATTGATCATTTTTGTAAGGGACTCGCCCTGATTAAAGCTATTCCAATGGACAGCAAAAAAAAAAAAAAAAGTTGCTTTTACTAAATACTGTTAAAAAAATTCAATCTGGAGTGGCAAGGGCCCGATTACACGTTCGGATACCTACAGGGCTTTCAACTTCAATATTGCCCCCCCCCCCCCCCCTCCCATAATGAAAACACAAATACCCGGCGCAAGTCAGATGTCATTAGGCAATCTTATAGCAGATACTCTTCACTCTCATAAGGATACCAGAGACAGATAAGGCGTCATTGCGCATGCAGGTATCAAGTTTCATCACCCTAGTGCAAGAACAGACTAATAAAGATCTGGCCATCAGGTCCACACGTAAACGTGTGCTCATCGCTTCGGCTTGCGGCAAAAATCGAATTATACGATTGTTTTTTTTATCTCTACAGATTTGTTTTAGAAAACCATTAAAGCTACACAAATATACGGTCTATGCAGGTGGGTTATACGACCAGGGGAACATGATGCAGGGGCTAATCGTACTGTAAGCCGAAAAATTACCTACAAATTGTCAATTAACTTTTTAATTAGTTAAAATAAGCTCATTGTTCCAATTAGAAACTTGCTGAGCGTCATAAAAAAAAACGCCATATCAGTAACTTCTAGGGAGAATTTGAGCGGGTGGAAAGCGCAGTCGTGCGCTAAAGTTACCACTCGTATACCAGGCACAAGGCTGCAGCGGTGAGAAAACACGTATGATAAGAAACGGAAAATTCACGCGGGCGGGTTATCGGTATACCGATAGCATGCTCCAGCTGCCCGAGTGACAACTTTAGCGCCCCACCCTGCTTCCCACGTCCTCCAAGTCTTTCTAAAATTTAGATGATGCTCAACAAATTTCTAAAGAAAATCATATGAATATTTTCACTAATCAAAAAGTGAAAATATCTCTGTTATGTAGATATTTTGTTTCCTTGGCCCGTAACTCACCTGCCCAAACCACATTAGTGCAACTTTCATGGTTGTTTTTAAACAAATATGTTAAGCCCAAAAAGAAAACTGCGTAGGGAACGCTGCCATTGTCTCTTTACTTTCCCCAATTCTTATTTTATAGGCGATGCAGGACGTCCCCATAATTCGTTGAGCTCTTCGCACGCGCCCTTGTGGTATCTCTAAGCGAGCTGGTGAAATTTCAACATCTGGAACGCCCAACACTACACGAAACAAAAGTGACATCTTTTTGTTTCTATTTTCGGGTGTTCAAAATCGGCCATGATGGCGCGAGCGCGTCCGTGACACGAACATGCTCGCATGGCAACAAAGCGGCAGTGTAGCGTTTGATCATGCACACGTCACGGTCTTTTACAAGCGTCTGCCATCATGTGTCTATACGCGCGATAACGAAGCGTCTGAAAGAACTATAATATAAACAAAAATCAAAATGCAGCTCCCGCTTTCAGTGTCCTAACCAAACAGCAAGTGTTTGTCTCGTAAATCTGTGTTCGTATTTTTTTTTTTTCACGTTTATATTTAAAAATGCAATTCTGCCAGCAAAGTGTATCCGCGAGGAACGCGAGAAATTGCAATAACGCACGACTGAAACGTGGCCGAAAAATATTTGATTTCGCTCGACAGAGGGGCTGTCCAAACATGAGAGAACAACAGGCCTATTAACTAGGTCCCTTTATTTTTTCATGTGTGGGGTAAAGCTAGTATTACCACCGTGTTTTCAGGGAACGCTAGCCGAAAGGGTTCGTGCTGGCGGCGCGGGCATCCCTGCCTTCTTTACGCCGACAGGCTACGGTACCCTCGTGCACACGGGCGGTGTTCCCGTCCGTTCCGATGGGCGAGGAGGAGTGGCCATCACCAGCCAGCCCAAAGAGGTGAGGTCCCGTACATTTGTTTCCCGATAAAGACCCACCTGGGGCTCGGGATGGACAGTCGGCGAGATCGCCAACGCCTCTTGTGAATCATCGCCGCGAACACTTGTGTCACACCGTAACGACGCACGCTTTGTAGCACCGGGTGTTCAACGGCAAGAACTACATCATGGAGCATGCCATCACCGGGGACTTCGCGCTCGTGAAAGCCTGGAAAGCAGACAAGGCTGGAAATCTCGTGTTCAGGTTGGTCTGCAGTTCTTAGCGCGATCGCGTTTTGTCTCCGCCAGGGGTTGGGGGCAGTTTAATAAAGACCCGCCGCAATACCTTTGTTACACGGGCATGCTCTTGGACAACATTCTCTGGCTATGCAGTCGAAGCTGTGGGCGCATGTGCCCATGCGCACCTTGAGTGCCCGTCAAAGCTATGCACGCGCACTCTTCACCTTTGAAATACGCTGTTCGGGTCCTATCAAAGTGGCTGTCTTCTGGATGATCGTCGTAAAACAGCAGTACAAGGTTGGGTCTGCGACGCCTTCCACCTTCCACGTCAGGAAGGTGTGAACCGGCACCTTTATTCTGAAGCCTATGTTCAAACCGCGGTACCACGACCGCTGAAAGTTGCGAATAGTGTGGTAACTGTGGTGAAGCGCAACTGCAGTTAAGGGTTACTTAATTAAGGGTGACCGTCTAACAAGGGTAGTTGCTTATACACCAACTCATGTTTACAAACAAACCGGAGCGCCCCTAGCGGACGCCACCGGCGCCGCGCATGCGCGATGGGGGTGTGGGCAAAAAGCTCTCCGTCGCCCATAAACAAACCATTGAAATGCGATGTTGTCGGCGCCGGTGTGAGTCTCCGCGCTCTTTTTCGCGTTGGAATTGTTGATTCTACGTCCTCCTAACTATGTCTGACTACTTGAGCAGCGTCAGCGAAATTAACGAGGCTCGTTACACCGCAAAACTTCGCGTGAATAATCTGATATGCGGCGATTCATTCCGCGTGGACGCCGCAGAATGTACGCTAAAGCCTGATTCACATGATGAGATTTCGCCTGCAGTTTTCAGTAGCGGGCTGCAAAAGCTAGCGTGAACCGTAGCTGAGATGGTCGACGTCGATACTGAAAATCGCAAGCAGAATCTAACCAAGTGAATCAGGCATCACAAGTCGGTGATGGCCAGTGGTAACAAGGATCAACATCTTCTTGTATCTAGTGTTTACGTCGAGCCTGCTTACCAACCTTCAAACTTAAGTCTTTTGAGGCCTGCACTTAATTCTTATCGCAAGTACCGGGCCCACGTTTGGTCTACGGGCCGGTGTCCTCTAAAAGGGCAGACGACAAGCAGAAACGTTTGAAAGAGCAGACGACAGTTCGAACGATCAGGCGACCGTTTGGACTTGAAGGCGCACTGAACGTAGTTCCCAGGTGGTCCGTACAACTTGACGGTTTTCCGGCGTTCATTTTGGAAGAAAACAAATAAATTTGATGGCCAGTAGTATCGGTGAATTTAACCCAAAATGCTTCCCGCCCAAGCAATCGTGGTCCGACGGCGTCTGGTTTTCCGTTTTTACTGGACGTATCCGCGTTCTCGGAGGAACCGAGCGCATGAAAACTGACCTTCAAACCTTTCTCGACACTCTTAGTACAGCCCCAGTCGCAGCATTTTGACGAGAAGGCAAATTTTTGTCTGGTTCCTTTCAAAACAACGCAGGAATACACGTCTCAAATGGGCACTTCCGCCCACAGCCCCGGACCGGAAGTGCGTCCGACGCGCCACCACCGCGCCGTGACGTAACAGAGATGAGTTCGTGTATAGGGTGGACTAGCAGCGGATATAACCCTGCTTACTTAGCATTTATTCAACAAAGCAGTGTGCACTCCCCCATGACGTCAGACGTCTGGTCAGAACTCCTCATTCTGATTGGGTCATGCGATACGTCAGCACTTCGGCGGACGTAATTATCCAATTAATACGTCTTAGCAACAAGCACAAATTGTTACATAATCACGTTTTTACGAAGCTTTGAGTCTTCACGATGACGCTTCGAGTGCCGCTACTATACCGTCTGTTTGGTACTCGGTTATTTTCTTTCTTTAAAACACACAATGTGTTATATTACTGGCTCCTAGGAGTTTCCGTAACGCACTTCCCGTAACCGAAGAGACAGACACATGGAAATTAGTTGGGCACGAGGGTTGCGTCATCATTCGGTTGGGGTTCGTGTCTTCACGGCTTAAACACGAGTCCCGGTTACCCAAACGCTGACGTAGTACTCGTGTTCAGTTTGTGTTTTGCACTCCGGTAGGCGACCTAGAGATCAATTTTTTTTTCGGTACTTCCGGGACCGTATAGTTCCATATGCAGCGTGCCTCTTGTCAAACACCTAGATAATCCGAAGGAACGGATTACTCAGGAATGATCAGTGGAACGTATTATAAAATAAATATGGGAATAGACCGATCTCATTAAGCGATCCACGCATGCCTGACGCCGCAATAACTTTAGTTCACAGGAGGCAGACGGCAGTGCATGCACGACGGGGCTCGTGCCATCTCATGCTCTACACGCGCGGTGCTCCAGCGAGGTTGTGGCACGTGCCCGAAGTTTAACGTTCCCTCGATGCATTTCGGCAGCCGTGGCGACGGGCGTAGTCTAACTTCCTGGTGTAGATTCCCTTAAAAAATTCACGCTTTCAATCATCGCCAACCATTGTTGTGGAAACGCGCAAGACACGTGCCACGAGCGGGTGCTCCGCCACCATTCGCTTCCAAGGGCCGCTCATTTCAGTGCTGCGCCGCCATCTGCTTCCTAGCGCCGCTCGAGACATGGGCCTCGTGCACTGGCACACTTGACGCTACTTGCAACATAAACCCAAACACGTCGAGGGGCTTTAGGCTAGTGAGATCAGACTATTGTCCGTGGAACGGACTGACCACGAATTGTCTATCGCTGGAAGCCATTCTATCCTTGTTGGCTGCCTTACGTTCACCGCACGGAAGAATAAAACGAGCCTTGTAAATGCTTCAAAAGAAACTTCCGCGTGCGGACAAAAATATTATTCTTTAAACCAGTGTGTCGAACCGAAAAAAATACGGGTTCGGTTACGGTTCAGGTTCAGGTAAATTTATTTTGTTCCGGTTCAGTTCCGGTTCGATTAATTCGATCCGCGAACCGGTTCGCGAACCGGTTCGGGGCGCTGAACCGGTTCGGAAATTATAAATGACAAATTGCAACATCAAAATAAATTACAAATAAAACATCTGAAATCAGCACATACGAAACCGGATACATCGTAGTGTAAGGCTCAGGGATTTCTACCAGGAATGGTTTCTTTATGTGCACTCAAAGGTTACCTCACCGACGTTTACGCATTCGGACTTCATCTAATTGGGTCCGACGCAGTAGCTGTAAAATCCGCGACCTCCTTACAAACCCACTTACAAGTAGAACTCGCTAACTATCCCGCCACCTCGGCGTGTAAGCAATTGAAGAAACATTGGGGAGAAAATACAGCTTTCTCTATTTGAACTAGCCTTCGGTAACTCAAATTAGACCCTTAAAGAAGTTTTCATTAAACAAGATACGGAATATGAAAAACACTTCACCGAACGCAACGCCAGAAGGACGTAATAGGATAAATATTAAAATAGAAGAGTTCGCTGTCTCACAAATATGTTAGCTTCTGAGTGCCTATACGAAACCGGATGCATCGTGGTGCTGGCTTTCGTCAGCGGCCGCCACTCGCACAAAACTAACTACACCGCACACTATATTACCTGGACGTCTAAAGGGATGCGGGAGAAGGTAACCACTTCTGTTCCAGTGACCACGTGGTTACTATGAGGTGCTGCTTTATAACGTACAGGTTATTCTCTCGCAAAAAAAAAAAAAAAAAGAACTGGCCACTGATTGATCTTTTTTTTTAAAAATAAATACATAATTGTATTTAAGTGGCGTTAAAATTGGTATCATTGTTATTGGTATAAAGCCTTTTTTTTTTCAAATACCAGCTTGTTTTTGTTTTCGTGGCCCCTTCAACAGCTTCTGCAGCAATCAAAATAAGCACTAGTCTGTAACTACAAAAAGGATACCACAAAGCGTAGGACGACCCGGGAAGTTTTCCATTTCCCGCTTTTGTTCTCCACTGCGCAAAAATTTGCAGTTTAGGCAAAGTCGTAAAATTAGAAACGCAAGGAATGCGCAGGAGAATAAATCCCAAATTCCGGAGGGCACACCGAAAACGGTACAAAACAAACGGTCTCCTGGAAAGAAAAATATGTAAGCGAGGTGTGTGTCAGTTGACGGCACTTAAAAAACAAATGGCATTGATAGCACATTCATTGTCAACAGCGCGTGGCCGAACCGTTTTGACATGAGCCGGTAACCGTTATTTTTTTCCGGTTCAGTTCCGGTTCGGGTTCATCGCGATAACAATATAACGGTTCGGGTTCGGGTTCAGTTCCGGAAAAAAACCCGGTTCGGTTCCGGTTTTCGGTTCGGTTCGGTTCCGGTTCGACACCCTGCTTTAAACGTTATGCGCCGTGAGACAGGGACAGAAGGAGGGGGACACAACACGAAGTAAGTCGTTCATTTTGGCGAAAATATGATACCTGGGGGGCTATGTTGCACGTTTTGGACTCCCAGGAGACTAGGGAGAAGGAAGTGACGTCAACAACGCTCTTTGGATGTTGATTGGTCGAGTCGCTGATGACGCGTTGCGTGGTGCTGCTAAGATACGTTCATTCACACCTACGTCACTTCCTTCTCCCTAGTCTCCTGGAAGTCCAAAACGTGCAACATAGCCCCCCTGGCTTATGCTTTGTGGAGGGTGAAGGTCCGTTCTGGACGCTATTCGTAACTATCACGGCCCATATAGACCGACACGCTGTTTACAATCAAGCCCGTGTTTGCCCACACCAGGTGTGGGCACTGCGAGTGCGCAGAAACCAAATTCGCGTGAAGTGAAGCGTCTGCGCATGCGCAGTGCCGTCGACAGCGCCACCGCAGCTGCGTGACGTCAGGGCCGCGTGTTGGTCTATAGTTGGCCCATTGTAGTAGATGAGCAGTGCGTGGTTGGGTCTGCTACGTGTAAGTAATTCTAATTTTATGGAATGCGAGTGATATGAGCACCTTGCCTCACACTTCCAGGAAGGTGTAAAAAATCACCTTCATTTTGAAGCCGATCATTCAGCAGCTAGGGAGTGAGCGTGATTCTCACACCTTGGTACCGCCGTCATGAAAGTTGCGAATATTAGGTCGCTTTATATGGAATGCGAGCAGGCTCACCTGCGAACATCAGTGTATTCAGCGCTCCTTCTATTCCAGGATGCGTTATCCTAGGGTTAGGAGAATCACGAACGCCGCCGATTGTATGTAAAAAAAAGCTTTTTTTTTTTTTTTCTCCTTTTCTTGTAGGAAGGCGGCCCGGAACTTCAATCCACTCATGTGCAAAGCCGCAAACCACGCCATAGCAGAGGTCCGTCTTTTTTTATATCTGATTTTTATCACGAAGTTATATCCTATATTACGGCATATTCACAAACAAAAACGGATGAGCTGTGTATATAAACACACTCACTAATTTTAGGTATTGTATAGAAAGACGCGTTCTGTACGTTTAAAAGCGAATACTATACGCATAACACGAATGCAAATCAAATAACGATAACTATCTCTTTTTTTTTTTCTTTTACTCCAGTTGTTTCGTATCAGTTACACCCCTCTGAGACCTGTATGGAGTACGGGACATTTGTCGATAAGTGTTTCGGTTTACCTTTTTGTGTCCCTGCATGCCACCTCCACCAAACGGCTAATTAATACGAAATACAAATAAATCAACACGGCTAGCGTGTTGTCCCATAGCCCCCTTTTCCCCGAACGAGCACATTTAGGGAATGTGTTCATTTGGGAAAAGACAATTGTTCCAAATAAGGGGATTAACAGGTGGAGATCTAAAATCCGCAGTAACACTGCTCGCACATCGTACAAAAGACAGTTTGCAGACACTATAGGGAGTTTTAGGAAACCGTGTTTCCACATGGTATACGATAAGTCCTCCAATTATGAACTGCGCATGCGCGAATCTTCTGTTGTAGCGCATGCGCAGTCCGTACCGGAAGGCCCGTATCGGACCTGCAGAAACGGTTCCCCAAAACACTCTGCTGTTTGAAGCGTGTTTCTTCCTCGTATACGTACGGTTCCCGTGACGTTGGTCACACGAAAACTGTCTGGAGACAAGTGTTCGAAGCACACGTATGTGTGAAGCAGACGGGCTTCGAAGATGCCTCAAGCGTGCCCGCGGATAATACTGTCAACATGTCTGCGGAGAAACTCCCTGTCTGCTTAAACAATCTCAAACTGGAAACATGACGCAGGATCCGACGAATAGATCGCATATCTTTATATATACTCGCGTAATATGTACATTCAGTACGACAAAATAATCCGTCTTTTGTCTTGCTGAAGGTAATGTTTTCTTTTGTGTGTGTGTGTGTTGCGTTTCAGGTGGAAGAGGTATGCGAGATTGGAGATATCCCACCGGATCAGGTGCACCTTGCCGGAATCCACGTCGACGGCATCTGCAGAGGATCGCGGTCATCCAAGGAACTAGTGGTGACGTTTTTTGTTTGTATACCAATTTTTTTTTTTTTTCCCGCGCAGAGCGACGAATGGTTTGTTCATTCAGTTGCTTTTGTTTTTAACGTGAAACGTTCTTCGGTTATGTTTACTCCGGCTTTTGTGAAGCCGTGGCCTGCGACGTCCCATGATGCAACGCGCGCAGTGTTGCATTATGGGACCGTTACAGACGCATACACACCAATTCAGTTTTCCCGCTAAATTTAACGGGGAAATTGACTTTACGTGACCGTATGTCACTCCATGATAGAACGCTTGATGTGTGCAACTAGTAATTAGCCATGCATTTTTTTATCAATATTTCTCCAAAATGTGGCTTAATTGTGGCCAAAAAAAAAAAAATTAAAAGGCACACTCCTACATGCATTAACAAACACACCTGTCTCTTTTAAAAAAAGTTTATTCGAAAAAAGACAACAGTGTAACAAAATGTCGATGATTTATTCAAACGTTAATTTTGGCCTATTTCAAAAAGGAACACGCGAAAAAAAAAAATTGCTTCCATTCGTATATAAATATACTCTCTTCTAACAACCATACACTGTCTTCCAATAACTACATGCTGTCTTCAAATAACCATGTTGCAACTTCTTTCTTGTTTGTTACCCAAGATTTGCAAGACCCAGAACGCACAAAATGAAGCGATCGACGACTACAAAACCCGCATCATCCGAAGGGCAGTCCTGGAATTTCAGGACGGGATGTACGGTATCCTTTCGTTTTTAAACCATGGGAGTTTGAATCCCGCCATGCGGGAATTTTCGGAACGAATGCGCAACCGCCATATCATCGTTACAATTTAACAATTACACGCCAAACTAACATTACCTGATTTGTCTTCCCGCCCTAAAAATGCTCGTCTGTGTTTATACCGAAATCTTTATCATCGTATCTTATTCGTTCGCCAGAAACTCATCATTGAACCATCTCATCACTCGGCTCGTCTCGATCACATTTATAAGGTCGGCATACCATACGAAATTCAATTGGAATGTTTTTCCCTTTACACGAGCTTACTGGCACTAGTGGGACTCAAGGATACTCACACGGACTGCCACAAGCCAAGAGAGTCCTTTGGTGCGGTGTAATTTCATTTTGAGTGAAAAGCGAGCGTTTTCATTCAATGTCTCCTTCGCAAAACTTGATGACGTAGTTGGGCAGTCGAAGTACCGCCCAGGGACGATATTTGAATGCTGCTGATAGATTGGACCCGAGCATTGCGTGGGCACTCGATTTGGGCTCGCGATAATCGATAGCTCGAGAAGCGTTCGGGTAGTGGCCCGTGTCCACCGTGCCCGTGTCCAATTGCTGCAATGACGACAATAGCCAAGCCATAACAATGTCTGGAACTCAGCGCGTGTCTTGTGCGTTTCCAGCCCCAGCGCGTTGCTATGATCAACATTGGCGGCATATAATCTGCTCCAGATCACGTGGACGCTTGTTCTGGCTGCGAGTTGAGGGAATGAACGCTGCTCGTTTTTCTTTAATTTTTCTGCGACTTCGATTGCGTGCGGTGAAAAACGAACGGGTGTTTCACAGGTCATTAACGTCAGGGATCCGTTATAAGTAGGGTTCGGAGTTTTCGGTTTAAACCGATAAAGACCGATAAAAGTACGCCGAATCCATTTTCGAAAATTCGGTTTTAACCGAAAAGGGTCAGTTTTTAGGTTCGGCATTTTCGGTTTAAACCGATAAAAACCGATAGAAGTACGTCGAATTCATTTTCTAAAATTCAGTTTTAACCGGAAAAGGTCACTTTGACCTTCCAGTCGTACCGCAGAGCCGTGGCAAAAAAAAAAAAAAAAATTGGAACGACAGTGTCTATCGAAACGTGTCCGAATGTATGGGATACACGGATGCCATCGCGACGTTTTGTTTCAATGTGCGCATCATCGATCGGAACGTGAAGTCCGAAACGCGTAATGACTTCGCCATGTACGAGCGTGTTTTCGAACTCGTTGTAAGGAAGACTGACTTCGTGGAAGCTCTGCATATTGTGTTGCACTTCAAAACCAGACTTGGACGTAGTTCAACTACTCTACTCAAACTACATTAGTTTAACTACTTTTTCGAGTAACTTGGTAACTTTCAATTACAACTTGATTTGGGTAATTAGTACTTTAATTTAACTACTTTTTTCAGGTAACTTCTACTCAAATTACTAACAAATTTCGAAATTATATAATGCTAATTTTGCCCATCACGAAAGTTTGAGCGCAGAAATGAATAAGACGCCGGCAGATGAAGTGGCATTCTCGAACAAGGGGCCCCCTTGTTCAGGAAGGCGTCCTTGGGCCAAGGTGGCGACGAGCAGCCAAAACATAACACCGGCACGCACGAACGCAGGAAGAGATGCTTGCTGAACAAGCCTTGGTCGGGTATTGACCTAATCCGGTAATGCACGCAAGCGCTGCGTTTCCAGCTGCAACCGTGAAAGACGGGGACACTCTGAGAGTTGTTGTTTTCGTGCTGTCTGTCTTTAGTGAGTTCTGACTCAAGCGGTAGGTTCCACGGCAGGCGCCACTGGAATGACCTCGCAGCTGGGCGCCTTGTCGTCAGCGCATACGCCTTTGCAAAGCCGGACTCTCCCGCGCACAAACCCTGGTACGGATAATCCGTTCATAGGAGCACGTTCCCGCTTACAGCTGCAACTGTATACGAGCGACGATGCTTGTTCACGTAATCCTTCGCGTCCTTCCGACCATCCATGCCTGGGAGACCTCCTCTTTGTTAAAATTGATTCAGGCGAGTCAGAATGTTGTAGTCGCCGGCGAGGATTGCGAGTTACCCTTGGGAGATCCTTCTGTTGGACCCAATTTTTTTTTCAGTAGCGTAGCACTAGCACTACGACGTGACGCGCAGTCGTCCGGATGATCTCATCGTCGTGGCGCGAGACTTGAACCCTTGACGGTCTGGTGCACTCGCCCAGCGTACTCTCAGAACGACGTCGGAATGAAGAGGGGCCAGTCATAACAATCTCAACATGACGAAGAAAAAAAAAAAGGAGGAAAGTTTGTTATTAAAGACCGTCTACCCGAGGCAAACCTCACAAGTTTCGTCATGGACTCCTAAGATGCCGACACTCGCTTACCCGACCCCGCACGGCCTGTTTCACAAATTCAACGCTGCCGTTCCATCCAGCCCGTCGGCGGAACGTCTATTTAGCTGGGCTGGGGACGTCTTTAGAAGGAAAAGGGGAAAACTCTCCTATCAAGAACTTTGAAAGTCAATTGCTTCTGCGAGCGAGTACACTATTTTGGCGAAAACGCAAGCCATAAATAGACTGCATTTATTTTAGGCTCGCAGGGTTTTTCATTGATCAAGACTGCTGTTCATTTTGCTACCACAAATATATAAAAAAGTAACTTCGAAAGTAACTTCAAAGTAACTCGCTACTTTTTACAGTAGTTAGTAGTTTACTCAATTACTCTTACGAATGCGTAATTTCTACTCTACTCCAATTACTTTTGGCGCCGATACTCACTAACTTAACTTAACTACCTTTTTTGAGTAATTTGTACATGTCTGTTCAAAACGTCGCAGCGTGTCTCTTTTGGCGGTCACAATTGGTTGATTGGCCGATTTTGGCTCAGGCAGTGCTTCATCTCATCAGCCTGCCAGTGTCCAGTGTTAGCGTTGAGTGGGCATTCTCAAAGCTCAGGGTCATAATAACAGGAAACAAGGGTCCGGATCAACGAGGAGAACCTGGAAAAGCTAAAGTACACGTGTGTGCACTATAATAAGATCACATAATCCTGATGCACAGAAGGTGAAGTTCCATGTTTTTTTTGGCATAGGCTTTGTATCTGACTTGTTTGTACTTCTGAGTTTTTTTTTACTTTTTCTTGTTTCTTTTACAGTTGCACACATTTGCCAAATAAAGTGTCCATTTATTTTTCAGTGTATCGGTGCCGTTATTTTTTGAGTGATCACAAATATCAGAGCTAGAAGGATCATCTGATCCAGTGTCGGTTGGTGTTTATTTTATATTCACCAAAAAAAGCCGATAAACTTTTGTGGGCATAAATATACGCCGAAAAAAAACGAAAATTCATTTTTAAAATAAACACCGAAAATAGTACGCCGAATTTTGAAAAAATAGAAACCGAAAACGCGGAACCCTAGTTATAAGCAACACAACAACAGAGGCGATGCAACAAAGGGGCGATGCAACAAAAATCGTTGCATCGCCCCTTTAAAGAAGCGATGCAACAATACGGCTTAGAATTATACTTTGACATTTATAACCTATAAAACACACGTTGCTTTTTTTTTTTTTTTAAGCAATGGCAATTGCAGAAAAAGTTCGAGAAATACGAACACCTTTTACCCGTTCTACTCGCAGAAAAAAAGCGGCCACGTGATCTAAACCGATTATATGCCGCCATGCATATATCCCAGGCAGCACCGAGTTCTGGGCCAAAACTTGGCTTGCGTCTGGCAGTTTAGGGCATTAAAAAGCCCGAAGAAGCCAAAGTAGTGCCAAACCTGACCTCCCTTGGCAACAGTCTGGGTATCTTGGCCCTAATTCGCCAAACAAGTGCCAAACTTAGGCTTCGCTCCCGGGTAGTTCGGTTATTATCTGGCATCTTCGGGCCTAAATCGCCTAACAAATGCCAAATTTAGGGTTACTGCCCGTTAGTTCGGCAGATCTTTGGCATTTTTGGGCCAAAATCGCCAAACTAATGCCAAAGTTAGGCTTCACTTTTTGATAGTTCGGCTATCATCTGGCACATTCGGGCCAAAATCGCCTCAGATGTGCCAGAGTTAGGCTTACTACCTTGTAGTTCGGCAGAGCTTTGGCATTTTTGGGCCAAAATCGCCAAACTAATGCCAAAGTTAGGCTTCACTTTTTGACAGTTCGGCTGTCACCAGGCACATTCGGGCCAAAATCGCCACAGATGTGCCAGAGTTAGGCTTACTACCTTGTAGTTCGGCAGAGCTTTGGCATTTTCGGGCCAAAATCGCCAAACTAA